CCCCCCCCCCCCCCCCGCCCCCCCCCGTCCCCGTCCCCGTTCCCGCTCCCATTCCCGCTCCCGTTCCCGTTCCCACCTTGGCGTTGAGCATGTCCACGCAGAAGTGGCACAGCGCCGCCCTGAAGAAGTGCTCCTTGGCGCTGTACTTGAGCAGGGGGCTGTCCATGGCGCTGGTCCCCACCTGAGGGGACACGGGGGGGACACGGGGGACACCGGGGACACCCCCGGGGGGGCTGGGGACAACGGGGACACCAGGGACAACAGGGACAACGGGGACACCAGTGACGATGGGGACACCCGGGACACCCGTGACAACGGGGACACCCGTGACCCATCCCCACCTGAGGGGACACGGGAGGTGACACGGGGCCGGGGACACCTGGGACACTGGGGACACCGGGGACGACGGGGACACCCGGGACACCAGTGACGATGGCGACACCGGGGACAGCCGTGACCCATCCCCACCTGCAGGGGACACGGGGGTGACACGGGGCCAGGGACACCCCCGGGGACACCCATGACGACGGGGACACCGGGGACACCAGTGACGATGGGGACACCGGGGCCACCAGGGCCACCCGTGACGACAGTGACACCGGGGATACCAGGGACACCGGGGACGACAGGGACACCCGTGACACTGTGACGACGGTGACACCAGTGACACCGGGGGCACCAGTGACACCCATGACGACAGTGACACCGGGGACACCCGGGACACAGGGGACACCCGTGACAGTGACACCCGTGACACGGGGGCCACGGGGGCCACCCGTGACGATGGTGACACCCGGGACACCGGGGGACACCGGGGACACCCATGATGACAGTGACACCGGGGACACCAGTGAGACCCGTGACGACGGTGACACCAGTGACACCCGGGACACTGGGGCCACCCGTGACGACGGGGCCACCAGTGACACCCATGACACCCGTGGTGATGGTGACACCAGTGACACCGGGGACACCCGGGACACCGGGGACACCCGTGACGACGAGGACGATGGTGACACCAGGGACGATGGAGACACCAGGGACGATGGAGACACCCGGGACGACGGTGACACCGGGGGGACACCGGTGACGACGGGGACAACGGGGACCTGCTCGTAGATCTCCAGCGCCTTCTGATACTGCTCCAGCTGCGCCGCGTACGTGGCCACCTTCAACAGGCACTTGTTGGCCGAGCTGCGGGAAAAACAACGGGAATTGCATCCCGGGAATGCCGCGGATCCCGGGAATGCCGCGGATCCCGGCGCCGCTTCCCACCTGTTGGACTCCTCGCCCCGGTAGTAGTCGGCCGCCTGCTCGTAGTGCGCGATGGCCTGCGGATAACGGGGGATCCGGGCAGGAAAACCGCCGGAAAAGCGGAGCCGGGGGGGAAGGGAGCGCCGCTCCGGCCGCCCACGCGGATCCGGCCATCTGCGGCATCCGGGAACGGATCCGAGATGCCAAGTGTTCCCGCGGGAGGAGGCCGGGCCCGGGCCAAGGCGGCCTCGGGAGCGTTTCCAATGGAACGGGAGCGGTTTTCCCTGTTTCCAAGCCAGTTTCCAAGCCATTTTGCAAGGGGGGGGATCGCGACGGATCCCATGGAGGGGGCTGATCCGCCGGGATCGGCATCCCGGAGACAGCTCAGCGCTTCCTAGGGTTATCCCAGAGCATGGAGGGGCCAATGGATGCACCTGGATGCACTGGATGCACCGGAGATGCGGGAGAGGCCCGGGAAGCCGGAGCCGCGCTTGGGAAGTTGCCATGGGAACGGGCTATTCCCGGGAGCTGCCAGGTGGGAAGCGGAGACGTCAAGAACAGCCCCGAATTAACCCGCCAACGGAGCGGGAGCCGGAATTAGATCTGTGCGCGGAAACTTGGGAAAGAAACCCGGCTCCAGCTGGCAGCACGGAGCGCATCCAAACCGGGAGGGATAAACCCCCCCTGCTCCCAAAATCCCCCGGGATTTGGCACCGGGAGGGCGGTATCCCGGCGCTCCCGCGGGAATCCCGGCGTTCCCGGTACCTTCTCGATGTCCACGAGCTCCGTCTCGTAGATCTCCGCGATGGAAACGTGGTGCTTGGCGGCGATGGTGAAGCGAAGCGGCCCGGGAAGCGGAGCAGATCGCGGGAAGCGGCCGGCGATCCCGGCGGCATTCCCGGGAAGCCGCGCTCACCATGTCCGTGTAGATCTCGATGGCCCTCACGAGGCAGTTAATGGCCTCTGCAAGGGAAAAAAAAGCTGGAGGGGAGCGGGAAGCGGGCCCGGATCCGAGGAGCGTGGGAGGAATCGGGATGCAGGGAAGTGCCAAATTCCCGGGATGCGCCGGCTGCCGGAAGGCGCGGAGCCAGGACGGGAGGAGCCTCGGGAATGCGGCCCGAGAGCATCCGGGTAATCCCGGTCTCCATCCCCAGGGATTAAGCAAATTCCCCGGGAGATGAAGCGTTTTTCCAGGTTATCTTCCCGCAAAACGCGCCCCGGGAGCAGGGATAACCAGCCGGGAAGCTGGAAAAGCCTCCGGAGCGGCAGGGAAGAGGCTGCGGGGAGCTCCGCTATCCCAAAGATTTTCCGGAGCGCTCCTCAACATTCCCAACCCTGCAGCTCCAGCCGGCGATGGGAGCCCGAGCGGCTCCCAAAGCCGGGAATTCCAGCCCGGGAGCAGGGAATAGCCGGGAGCAGCGCCTGGATGAGCATCCCGGAGCCGGGATCAGGGCTTTTCCCATGGGAAAGGCCGGCCTCACCTTGCGGATCCGCTTTTTTGAAGGCATTCCCGGCATCCACGAAGTTGGTGGCCGCGTCGTGCTTGCTCTGCAGCTGCAGGTGCAGCTGGGCGGCCTGGCAAAAGGCATTCCCGGCGGCTGGAAAAGCGGGAAGCGTTATCCCGGGAGCGTTATCCCGCCCGGAGCGTTATCCCGGAGCGTTATCCCGGTATCCGCACTCACCGCTCCAGTTCTTGGCCATCTTGAACATGTTGGCGGCCCGCGCGTACATGTCGCACGCTTCCTCCATCCGCGAGGAGCCCCTGGAAGCGGAGAAAGACCGGGAATTATTCCCGGGAATTATTCCCAAATCCCGGGAATTATTCCCAAATTCCGGGAATTATTCCAGCCGCTTTTCCCCCTTTTTTTAAGGGGAAACCGCAGCTTTCCTCGTGTTTCCCCCCCTCTTGCTGGACCCTCTGGGTCGCTCCTGCTTCTCCCTCTTCCCCCCGTATTCCCAAAACAGGGAATGCGGCTCAACAACAGCCCTTCCCGTTTAAGCGCCCTGGTTTTCCAGCATCCCGAATCCCGGGATTTGGGATAACAAAAACCGCGGGATCGCAGAGAAGCAGTGACAACGGGAGGAGAGAATTCCCGGGAATACCAAGGCCGGGACACCGGCCCCTTTTCCGGCCCCAGCTCCCTCCGGGATTCGGGATTTGCCTGGCTGGAACCCAAGAGCCCCCCTTCCTCTCACCCCATAGGACCCCCCATTGCCCCATAGGCCCCCCAATTACCCCATATCCGCTTCCCCACCCCCTATAGCCCC